GGGAAATGTGAGGGCTCGTGGCTCCCTGGGCGGGAAGGAGTCATGAGTCCATATGGGTTTGAAGAGTCATTGCAGAGTCCCCATGGCTGGAAAGGGGGCAGACCCTGGTCCCTAAACACAACTCCCCGTCTCAGCCTGGCCTTTGCTGCAGAGCCAGATCACCCCCGGCCCCGATCAGCCTCACTGTGGCTGCAGGTTGACTTGTCTGCAGGGGTGGAGGATGTGCCAGATGACGTGGCTCCTCCTTAGGCAGCGGCTGGGGACTCAGCATCCTGGCCCAGCCCGACAGCCAGGCCTGGGGGTGAAGGTTAGGGGCAGCGGCAACACATTCAGTCCTGTGCCAACTGCTCTCCTTTACCGCCGGGCCCCGCAAGTGAGAGCTGGACAGCAGGGATGCTGCTCCGTAATGCCTGCTGGGGACATGCTCCTCTGATGTCCCTAGAAGGCCTGAGCCTGTACCTCATCCTTGCTGCCCCCAGCCCTGGAATCTGGCTCCTGTGGTCATCCTAATTATTCTGATCCCAGTATGCTTGATGCCAGCCAACCACCCAGCTGAGGCTGTTCCCAGCCAGAAATGAATTAGTGTCTAAAACCTAAAACCTAATGAAAAAGTGGAGCCCAGAATGGCACGGGGGCTGGTAAGGGAGGGAAGGGCGGGACTGTGGATCTTAGTGAGTTGGTGAGCACCTGCCAGGTACCTCTGAAGGCAGAGTCCTGAGTGCTGAGCACCGAGGGGACCTCATGTGCCCCTTAGTGTATCATTCCCACATTCTCTCTTCCCTGCCATCCCCTCTCCCCACCCCCGGCCATGATCCCTCTGTCTCAAAGTGTGTCTGGTGACACTCTGTGAGTTCATTGTGTGCTGTCACATGGCCGGCTGGTGTCCTGCATGTGAGGGTTTATATTCATTAGCACATTGTCTTTGTCAGCTTGGGCTGTCATAATAAAATACCACAGGCTGGGTGGCTTCAACAAGGGGCATTTATTTCTCAAGTTCTGGAGGCTAAAAGTCTGCTGTCAATGTGCTGCAGGGTCAGTTCCTAGTGACAGCCTGCTTCCTGCCTTGGGGGTGGAAGAAAGTGGGAGGGAACCTTCTCTGTTGTCTCTTCTAAGGATGCCAATCCCAAGCGATCAGAGCCCAACACTTATAACCTCATTTAACCTTAATTACCTCTTAAAGGTCCTATCTCTCTAAATGCACACATTAGAGCTTTAACAAAGGAATTTGGGGGGACATAATTCAGTCCATAGCACACACCGTTTTTTTTTTTAATTGAAGTATAGGTGATTTACAATGTTGTGTTAATTTCTGGTGTACAGCACAGTGATTCAGTTTTATATATGTTTATTTCCATTATGGTTTATTACAAGATAGTGAATATAGTTCACCGTGCTATACATACAGTAGGACCTTGTAGTTTATCTATTTTATAGAAAGTCATTTGTATCTGCTAATCCCAAACTTCCAATTTATCCCTCCCCACTTTGGGAGGTGACTGAGTTTAGGAGAGGTCCTGAAGGTGAGACCCCAGTGCCCTTTTCAAAGCGACCAGAGAGCTTGATCTCCCTCTCTCTGCCATGTGAGGACATCGGGAGAAGACAGCCATCTGCAAACCAGGAGGCAGGACCTCCCTGGAACCCAATTATGCTGACACCCTGATCTCCTACTCCCCAGCCTCCAGAACCGTGAGAAATAAATACCACCCACTCTATGGTGTTTTCTTTTTTTTTTTTTTTTTTTTTGTGGTATGTGGGCCTCTCACTGTTGTGGCCTCTCCCGTTGCGGAGCACAGGCTCCAGACGCGCAGGCTCAGCGGCCATGGCTCACGGGCCCCGCCGCTCCGCGGTATGTGGGATCTTCCCGGACCGGGGCACGAACCCCGTGTCCCCTGCATCGGCAGGCGGACTCTCAACCACTGCGCCACCAGGGAAGCCCCTATGCTGTTTTCTTATAGCAGTGTGAGCTGCCTAAGACACACCTACCTAGCCTACTCCCTTCTCAGCAGCAAACCCCTGGGAAGATGAATTTCGTTAGAAGGAATATGACCTGTGGTTAACGATGCAAGGTCCATATGAAACTGACCTGGGATCCCCTCCCTCGTCTACACTCACCAGCCCTGTGAACGAGGGCAGGTCACTTGACCTCTGTGACCTCTGTTTTCTCATCTCCAAGTGAAGATGACACAGATAACACCTTTATCTCACAGAGTTGTTGCAGACAGTAAGTGAGACTAGGTAAGTCCACTAGGACTTACGCTGACATTGTCACTGGATAAATGTGTACCTATTAACATGAGGCTAGTATCCCATGGACACGGTGCCTCTTTCCTGTGACTCGTGCAGGATGGCACTGCCAATTCCTGACACTTTAGATGTCGCTTTTCTATGCTCCAGGGCTGGGTTAATGGTTTCTATTATATTTTTAACAGTGAAACTTTTCTATTCCCCACAACATGTCTTTTGGAGAACTCCGATATCTAAAACTGATGGATGTGGAGCTGTGCTGGTTGAAACTGGTGTGGGGCTAGAGACCTCCCTTCAGCCTTCCCCTCTGCTTCTTGAAGGAACCAGAGGCCCTCCAAGGAACACCATTTGAGAATCACTCCTCTGGGCTGCCCCACTTCCCTTCTATTCCCAAAGTCTTCCTTTCCTGGGACAGCACGGTGTAATTGTTCACATTTCTGCTTCCTAAGTAATAATCTCATTCTGGTCTTGCTTCCCTAAGGTGACCTGGGTAGGAATTTTAGGTGTCTCTGGGCTCTTCAGTCATACATTTACCGGTCCTGTGTCCATTCCCTCAGGGGGCTAATCCTATCAGGTGTGCATGGACTTTGCTACTTAACTCACAGAAGCCTACTTTATTGCCTAGTTCTTGGGATGTACCTCTGTGGCCCCATGTATGGCCAACCCGTGTAAATGAAATCTAATTTCTATTGTTCAGTAAGGCTATGCCTATAAATAAATCCACAAATCAGAAAAAAAGTGCTTTGTCATATTCCGTGTCCTGGTTTTGGTTTGGAAAAATGGGTCACAGGAGATATAGGAACCTTATGCAGAGAAGATGGCATAGAAACTGGGTCTCTGTCCATATACCAGCCACAGAGATTCAAGGGCCACGTGTCAGTGAAATCTGTTCGGTTTGATTCTCTGTGTTGCTGTTCTTCAGCTTCTACCTCTGCAAGATAAGCTTCATCTTTATTTTTCTAGCAGCTTTATTGAGATATAATTCATATAACACACAGTTCACCCATTTAAAGTATACAATTCAGCGTTTTTTAGTACATTCGCAGAGTTGTGCCGCCATCTCCATGATCAATTTTAGGACATTTTTGTCATCCCCCCAAAAACACTATGTGCACTAGTGGTCGCTCTCCATTTCTCCCCAAATTCCTCACTCACCACCACCACTGCCGCTGGGCGACAGCTAATCTACTTTCCGTCTCTATTTGCCTATTCTGGACATTTCATATAAATGCTATCTTTCAACACATGATCTTTTTTGTGTCTGGCTTCTTCAGCTGAGCATAATGTTTTCGAGGTTCATCCATGTCGTGGCATACATCAGTACTATATTCCGTTTTATTTTTGAGTAATATTCCATTGTATAGATATACTACATTTTTGTTCATCCACTCATCAGTAGATGGACATTTGGGTTTTCCCACTTGTTGGCTATTATGAATAATGCTGCTTGGAACATTTGTATACAAGTTTTTTTATTATTATTATTTAGACAGAGTAACTTTAGGACATATTTTATTTTATTTTTTTTAATTTGAAGTATAGTTGATTTACAATATAGTCTTAGTTTCAAGCATACAGCATAGTGTATATATATATATATATATATATATATATATATATATATACTTATATATAATATATATACGTATATATTCTTTTTCAGATTCTTTTCCCTTATAGGTTATTACAAACTAATGAGTATAGTTCTCTGTGCTCTACAGTAGGTCCTGGTTGGTTCTCTATTTTATATATAGCAGTGTGTATATGTTAACCCCAACCTCCTAATTTATCCCTTCACCCACACTCCTGTGTACAAGTTTTTGTGCAGAGATTTCCAATTGTGTGACCTCCTCTACCAAGAGAACAAATGATATCAATGTCGACTAGATTTACTGAGTGTTTGCTGTGCCCCAGATACTGCGCTGAGCGCTTCACGCGCATTATCCATGTCATCTTCACTGGAGCCCAAAGAAGGGGCTCTCTCCCCATTTTACAAGTGAGGAAACAGAGGCCCCATAGCTAAGACGGGGCGGGGCTGGGATTTGAACTCAGGTTAACACGCATCCTTCATACTGCTTCCGGAAGTTGGGCAGCTATTGGTAGCACACCACTCCAACCGTTCACACTGATTGTCACGCTGATTAAATTTTGATGGTGTGCCACTTATATACATTGTCTTACTGAATTCTCACACCAGCCCCATGAGGTTGTCTTACTATTCCCCATGTTCAGTGAGGACAGAAGTTCATAGAAACTATGTAGCTCACTAGGTGACATGTGTCATTGGTGGACACCCGGCATAGCAGGGCCCTGCAGTGGCTCCTGATACCACAGGACTCGCTCTCAAACCTGGCCCTCTTCGACCCTAGATCACCTCAAGGAGAGTTTCTCATATGCCCAGAATACCATTTTCAAAGGACTGCTGCCATCTCCCTCCCTTTGCACACGTGTGCCCATGTGTGCAGGTAAACCTAAATCCAAGAGTATCGCTATGCCTGAGGCTGGGGACCTCTTCCAGGTAGGGCCCCTGGTGTCCTGCCATGGCATTACAGTGTCCCTGAGGTGACTAGCCACACTAGAGTTCACTGCTACACCTGGCTACAAACCTAGACCCTTAGCATGCAGGGGACTTGCTTTGGGGGCAGTTCTGAGGATGGCAGGGTGGAGGTGGAAGGCGGCACGGGGGGGAGACTGGAGTAGGAGGACGCATAACAGTAGAGGGTACCAACTGTGTCCATGTGGTTGCCTGCCCACAGCTGCTATCCTGGATGACCCCATGGAGTGCAGCAGAGGGGAGCGGCTGTCCATCACCCTGGCCAAGAACCGCATCAACCGTGCTCCCGAGAGGCTGGGCAAGGCCAAGGTCGAAGTGGACATCTTTGAGCTTCTCAGAGACAGCGAGTACGAGACTGCAGAAACCAGTACGTAGCATGGGCAGGGCTGCCCTCTGCTTCCCTTGCTGGCAGAGGAGGGGCTGGTGGTGTGAGCCGCACCCATTGCCGGGCCTGTGATGTAGATATTCCCAAGAGAGGAAGAGAAACATGCACCAGGAAGCCCTATAAGGCTTAGTCTAGACAAGATCCCAGGTTTTGTTGCAAATCATGTGTGGAGTAGAATTAAGATAGGGAATTCATTCATTCCTTCATTTACCCACTCATTCGTTCCTTCATATATTGATTCATTCATCTCCTGGACATTTTGTACACAGATCCCTGAATGAAACCTTATATGGGATTAAGAAAGGAGAGATTCAGCCAGCCACAGGGAAGCATAGTCATGGCACTTCTGTTTCCTCTCTTGCTTTCTTTTGCTGAGGGCAGTGTTGTGGGAAGAAGCTGAGACTTGGGCTGGACATCAGCCACTCACTCTGTGGGTAACCTTGGACAAGTCAGTGATTCTGTTTAACCTCAGTTTCTTCATCTGTAAAATGGGAACACTGAGGCCTACTTTGCAAATCTTGCAAGTCATTGTGAGATTTAAATGACTTGCAATATAGGAAAATCCTCTGTGAGTTGTAGTGCTTTACATTCATACTCAGTTGGTCACTCCAGTCACACTTACGGAGCCCCTCCCATGTGCTGGGCACTGCTTTTAATTCTCCCAACAACCAGAGAGTTAAGTGTTATTATTCCCACTTTACCAAAGAAACTGAGGCTCAAAGACATTGGATAACTTGCCCAACCCCAGAGCTAGTCAATGGCTGAGCAAGTCCTGGACCCTGAACTTGCATCACGACCCTGCACGTCTAGTGTCCCATCCACTCCACCTCCCCTGCACTTCTCTGGTGTGTAGCTGGTATTACTTTGATGACTTTACAGGATGAGCTTCCAGGTTAGTGGGGTGGTGGCTTGTAGCTAAACTGGAAATGAACAACTCCAGTTTAGAGGGAAGGAGGGGGAGACCCTCAGCCCAGAGAGGTGATGGCCTCCATTCCCTAAGGCTCTGGAGTCCCACCTCCTCCCTTTCTAGCCCATTCCAACCTTTGATGACACTCAATGGCAAAACCAAACGAAACTAAAGAACAACTCGCTTAAATATACATGTCAGACATCTGGTCGTCTGCATGTGGGTCCAGCGATGCTCTCATCTGGGTTATTAATATTGCAAGAGAAGAAACACATTTACACTGGCTTAAGTACAATTGGTAGGATATTGTATGTATCCAAAGAGAGAAGGGCGGGAGGAAGGCAGTGGCTCTCTGTCTGTCTCACAGCGTCTTTAGTGCTCTTGTTGTATTGGATCCATGCTCTTCCCTCTCTGCTACTTTGGTTTCCCTGGTTTATTCATCATGTCCCGTAATGGCCATCCAGGCCCAGCTGACAATTTGTTTATCCATTCAGGAAACTTTTATAGAGCATTTGCTCTATTTCAGGCCTGACTCAGGATATCATGCATGGGGAACAATGCAGAAAACAAGATAGACACAGTCCCTGCCCTCAGGTGGCTTACAGTCTCTCTTCAGTGTGCAGCTTCCCTCAGTGCCCCTTGGTTTGGAGACAAGGTAGAGGGTCTGATTGGTCCTGTCTCACAAGCCACAGGCATTGACCAGATGACCTAAGAGCTACCCTTGGGGAGAAAGTCCACTGATTGGTCCTGTCTCACAAGCCACAGGCATTGACCAGATGACCTAAGAGCTACCCTTGGGGAGAAAGTCCACTGATTGGTCCTGTCTCACAAGCCACAGGCATTGACCAGATGACCTAAGAGCTACCCTTGGGGAGAAAGTCCACTCCTAAAGACTGAGGGTGGATTTCTATCACACAAAACAGGGTTGTTGAGGCCAGCAGGATCTATGGACACAGATTCCTTCAGAAGAAGGCATGGTGGAACATGTACCTGGAATCGTCATTCATTTATTCACTTGGTCAGTCAATAAATATTTAGTGAGTGCCTGCTGTACTCTATCCTAGGCAATGGGGATTCAGCAGGGCACAGGTAGAAATTCTAGTTGTCACAGAGGTTAAATTCTAGTCCAACAAAAGGAAGGTTCAGATTTCTCAGGATCTTCACAATGAAAGCAGAAACGCCAGCAATGACTTCTCATGGATCTCCTGGTCCTGTCTGTATTGTCATGTTTCTTTTTTGTCCATGAGGGCAGGTCGCACACAGGGGGCCAGATGACTAAATAGTTCTGTAGTCTATTCTTTGAAAAACCAGCTCCCCCTTCTCCTTCTTTGGTTCCTCAGGGTTTCCTTCGCAGAACAGAAAACATGGATTGCCCACTGAGGATGGGGGTCATTAGCAGATGTAAATTTCTTCTCCCAGTGACCCAGGCTTAGTGGAGTCAATACATCTAAAATATTAAGCTGGATGAATCAGGGGAAGAAAGGAAACTGATATCTTTCTTCCACATTACAGAGCTTTGGAGCATCTTTCTAAGGCCCCTCTTTTAGGCACCAAGTATTTTACTAACACGTGGCCCTTGGTTCAGCTTTTACATCTCACTGTGTTTGAGGCATGATTAGCATTTGTTAGAAAAGAGGGCTTTTGGATCTTTCTACCCCAAAGGCTTTTCATCTAAAGCCTGAGCTGCTCTCCCACAGTGGATTTTAAACACCACCCAGATAGTTCATAGAAAGCTTCCAGCCCCGCTTGCTCCTTCCCTCCCACAATAAGGGGGAGAGTGGGTGGTGGGTTACCGCGTTTAGCTGAAGCGGGATGGGGCGGGACGGGGGGGTCAGTGGCGGGATGGGGGAAGGAGATTAAAAGGAGGCATGATCCCCAGATGAAGGAGGAACAACAGCTCTGCGATCCCTACGTTGGGGAGACTGTGGTATAAAGAGTAGGAACATGGATTTTAGGATCAGACCGACCAGGTTTCAATCCTGGCTCTGCTGTTTACTAGCTGTGTGACAGTGGACAGGCTGCTTAACCATTTCGTGCCTCCGCTTCCTCATTTGTAAAATGAGGTGATGGTAATAACACCTGCTAGGGTCATTCGGAGCAGGACACGAGACAGTGCAGGTGAGTTCCTTAGCACCGTGCGCATACCAGGTAGTTAGTAAGTGGCAGCTATGGATTTCGTTGTTGGCTTTATTCTCTCACCACCACCGCCTCCCCACCTCGGAGCTGGCTTCCTCCCCCTCTTACCATCATGTCTCTTTCCCAGTCTCAGAGTTCAGCCATCCCTACCTGGCAGCACCGTCTACCTCCCGGGCTCCTCTCACACCGCCTGTCTTAATGTCAGGTGCCTCGTGGGGCCTCGATCATAACTGGATATTCCCCTCTCTTTTCCGTTTTCTGGGTTGATGCATCCGACAGCGCTGAGCCTTTGTGTGCCTCCCAGAGCCAGCTACTGCTCTGTCTCATGGTGGCTGTGTCTTCCCCGGGCTGGTGGCCTGGGGTTGATTTGCATTGTTAATGTAAAAACTACTTGAGTGGCTCTGGGGCCCTGACGAATGCCCCCAACCTCACACCTGTCACCCGGTGCCCCGAGACTCCGCTTCAAGGGGATAAAAGAGATCCTAGTGATGACATTCTTGGTTGCGGAAAGCAGAGGCTCTGATCTAAATGGAGGTAGTAGCAATCCTACAGGGTACTCTTGTGCCCACTCTCGGCAATAGGGCAATAGGTGAGTTTCAAAAACTCTGCACAAATAATGAGTCACATTTGGGACGGGCGTGTCATTCAAGGGAAACAGTGGCAACTTCAGAATCAAAGAGGATGAAGTGTACAACTAAAGATGCTGGAGTTCAACCATCTCATTTGATAGTTGAAAGCAAGGCTGGGAGATGGAAAGTATCACACAGGGTATTAATAACAACCTGGACACTGGAAAGATACAAGTAGCAAACCACCCCGCTTTTATCTGGTTCACATAGATTTTCATATAGTGGATTTATTTAAAGTGAGGGTCACCCGTAAAGCTTCCTCAGACCCACGTCTAATCCCCTCTACCTCTCTGCCTGGTCACCGTCATTGCCTCAGGCTTCTTGATGTTTGACTTCCCAGCTCCCTCTGCGCAGCCCACAGATATGAAATAACAGGGCTGGACAAGACCTATCAGGCCACCTCTCCACATGGCCATCCCTTCCCTCCTGGCTCAAGTATCTTATCTCCATCTCTGCCTTTCTCGTGCATCAAGCTCCCACAGCATCACCCTCCTCTGTTCCTATAGATCCCTGTGTCTCCTACAGCGAACGTATTAGAGCTAAACTAAGTGCCACCCCCTCCCTTATCACCCAGACACCCTGAGGCACCATCCCTGCTGCTGCCAGAGCCAGTCTGAAGTTTAATTTACTGCAGAGCTAGAAGCAGGAGCCTCCCTGTCAGCCCCTCACCTCTGCCCTGGCTTGTCTCTATGAGGACAAGCGTGCTATCAGCTGTCCACACTGTTTCCCCTGGAAACCCAGAGGCTCACTGGTTCTCGGGTCCCATGAGGCCCCAGTGCCTGGAGATGGGCACAGAGAGTGAGGTTCCAGCTGCCCCTCCTGCACAGGATCCCGAGCTTCTCGAAGGCTCTGTGGGCACGACCTCCGCTGATTCAGGGCTGCTTCTAGTAAGTAGAGGCTAACATCCCTCCATCAGCTCAATAGAATGACTCCAAGTCAGCATTAGGGAAAAAGGTGAGAAGCCAGAAGAGAAAGGCATCTGAATAGTGATGAGTCATTCAACACGCATTCCCTGCCTCCCTTTCCCACCTCACGTATGCATAACAGGGACTCAGAAATGCATTGAATTACAGTGGTTAGAAATGGCCTGGACCAACCTCCTCATTTTACAGATGGGGAAACTGAGGCTTGCAGTCTTTCCCAGGAGGCAGCTAAGACCACACATCTGAAAAGTGGCATAAATCTCAGGAGCTGTGCTGTGGGCTTGCCAGGGAGTGGCTCAGACAAGGGCAGAAGGAGGTCAGAAATAGGTCATAGGTGTAGCTAGCCAGTCAGGTAAGGCTGCTGGGCCAGAGCTTGGAATGTTTGAC